ATCTGACAAATAAGAAAGAGCTGACACTATCCAAAAATCATTACCACACAGCTGAGGTGCTTCTTGAACATAGCGCACGTGCATTTCAATCTCTTCCTGCATGTAATGCAAAGCATGTTGGTTGGCTTTGAGATACAAAAGGCAGACACTAAGACATGCTCAGGCAAAGTGACTCTCATATTCTATGATCTTCTGAAGAGGAGAAAAGCTAACAGTAGTCCATGGCACTGTGCCATTTAGTGTTGTCAATTAACTTCTAAGAGCTGGGGAAGAGATAGCACTAAGGAGCCTAACAGTGGGTAGGGAGTCTCAGAAGTCCCACCTGATGGTGAGCTGGCAGAAAGTGGAGTTTTGTCACTCCTATATCTACTAATTTAGGCTCCTGTGACATAGCGCTTGTTCTGCTCTATTCCTTGTGCATCCCCTTTGCTGTCAGCTCTATGGGGAGAAAATAGACACTCCCGTGCAGCTGCAGAATAGCAATACCCCCAGTGATGTGCATCTGCATCGCCCTCTTCTCAGACATCCCATCCTGAAGATTCTCCTAAGGAACAGCAATTCAGGCAGGGAAACATCACTCAAAACAGAATGGAGGAGAAATGGCAGTTCCCAGTAGGGAACTGGCCTAATATAAGAGGTGTCAGCTTGCAGTTATCCTGCTGACAGTACAAGCTAACAATCAGAATATCTTCATTATTTAAGTACTTGTGTGAGTACATCAGATACATCAAGCAGAAGTGAGCACTGAGAAACCACAGAGAAAATCCGACTGGTTGGTGTCAAGCATGCTGAGCTTTAGAAATCAGTACATTTTCAGAAATGTCTCAGAAAGACTGATTGAAATAGTACAGTCTGTTCGGTAAAATATGTCCCTGATACTTTTTTCCAGCATTGTGAACTAAATCGATTCAGGGTCAAGTCATTTTTTAGAGGTTACTGAAAATGTGGTGCTGTACAGCCATACTTTGGTAACCTACAGACCTTTGTCATCCCTGTCAACATAAAGCAGAAACTACATAAGGCAGAAACCACAGATGCTAAAGCCTGTGATAAGAGGACAGTGACAACTCTAAAAGTGAGTTGCATTGCATTTTTCTTCTTCTTAAGCAGTACTGACAATAGGAATCAGCACAGACAAGGGCCTATGCAGAGTAACTTTAAAACTCAAAATTAAGATGTACTGCCAGGATTTGGACAGTCTGGAGGACTGAATGTTAAAAATTGAATTGGGTTCCACCCTTATTTTGGCAGAACACTTTTGATATGTAATTGAAACCGATACAGTGACTTCTCAGTGTGCCAATTCTGTCAACATACCTGCAGGGCAGCAAGCAGCATACCACAGGCAATAGATACACTGATTTCATTGTAGTAGTGGGTCTTCTTTTTGCCATTTGGAAGCCTCCCATACACCTGCTTGAAAATAAGGATCAGATAGGGGGCAGTGTCCAAGTATTCTTTGATCCAGTTTGTTCTGCAAAGGAATATTTAAGACATTTATTTTGCAACTCTTTCACTTTCCCGTCAGTCACATTTGCTATCTGCAAAGGTCCAGTAAAGGTACATGACAATTATAGCAGTAGGCTAAAACTTAAAACATATTCTGTAGAGGATTAAGTATTATCAGCTTAAACAGAAACATTTCTGCAAAATGCCTGAATAGAGTTCTGAGGTTTAACACATTCAGCTGAAGAACTGAAAAGTAGAATGGCAAAAAATAGGAGCTAGGTCTTGATGTCTTATCTATGAACTGGCCTCACAAGCATTTGTTCTTAAGATGGTTTAATTCCCAAAATTTTGCAGACCTGCAGCTCTACCTGTTGTCATCAATGCCAACATTTTTATGATTGTAGGGAAAACTGCTAGAAGAAAAGATCGGAACTGTTTGGTCTAAGGTATAAACCTGAATGTAACAACAAATGTTGCTATCCTGTTGCTGGATATTTCAGCCCTATTAGAATTTATTTGGTTCCCAATTTGTCACAGTGGGAATACATACAGAAATGATGTCAGATGTAGGTTGTTGTTTTTTGTTCTTTTTTTTAAGTTTATTTTGTACTGCTCTCATTGAAAACATAAAAAGTACTTCATTTTAGTAGTCTACATAACATATAAGCACCTGAAAAATAATAGTTCTCTGAAAGAAAGAGAACAAATTAACCCTGTAAAGCTTGTGCATATGCTTCATTTGACAAGCCAAGACTCACTATATGTCTTCCCATTGTGTAGAGTTAATCAAGCCATTTAGACTTTGTAGGGCATTTCAAAAAATTACATATTGCAAAATTCAACACTTGCATAAAGTCTAGCCTTTGGACTACCACAGCCAAATGCAAAATTCCTACTAACTATGAGGGCTTCATGCCTTGGCAAATAACAGGAAAAAATTGGAAAAATTTCTGGCAATAGAGATTGTATAGAAAAATAAAAATGGCAAAGTCAAATGCTTGGAAAAGTCTCAAGATGGAGAACGTGTAATCACTTTTACTCAAGGGAATTTTATGGATCAGCCACCAAGGAGCTACGCATATTTTTAGGTTTTTATTGCCAATCTTATATCTTAGAAATATCTAAAAACAGAGGAGGAAGGAAAAGAAAAGTATACTAGAAGAAATCATGATAGGATTCTTTTATCATTTTAATTTTCTAGACTATGGTGCTTTCAATAAGATTTTTGTTATCTTGAAAATCAAGACAAAGGCAAACAACAGGGAAGGGTATGCTGAACATTCAAATCACTTATTTCATCCTTTTTCTGGTAAGACTGAAGCACAGAGTCATAATGTGTAGCCAGAATTAACACTAAAAAAAAATAAATGCTGGGGGAAGGGAGCTTCAACTTTCCTCAGACAGGAGTTTGGGAAGAAACCCAGCTGAAAATTAGCAGAAGGATCACAGTATAGATCACTGGCTGGGACAGCCTCTGACCTCATCTTTCTTCTTTCTCTGCCATCAGGAAGTGGGAAATGTTTACAGTTGCCCTTCTGTGCAGCACCAGAAAATGGGGGAAGCTTGAGGAACAGGGATTTGAAAGAAAGTCTTTAAAAAAAGGTTTAAAAAAATATTTTCATATTTGTTTTTTCTTACTGAAAATGAAGGCCAAAATACAAAAAGAAAAGCATGGATAAAACTCTCAGTATAGTTTTTCCTAGACCAAAATACATCTCCCTCCAACACTCTTAACCAAGTCATCTTTTCATACCTTAATCTCTTCAGGTCATTGACCCATCTATCTCCCATCCTTTTTTTGTAGTTTATTTCTTCTTCTTCTTCTACAATCTCCCGAATCTTATGTTTTAAATCTGGATCTTGCACTACCACAAAGGTCCAGGGCTCAGTGTGCGCTCCACTGGGTGAAGTACCTTAGTATAAGAATGGGAAAAGATGAAGAGGCAGCTAGCAGAATTCTGGGAGAGAGGGTGCAGTGAGAGGTATAAGCTCTTCCCTCTGGGCTTTCAACTGATCATCAGAGCAATGGGAAAGAAAGCTGATGAATTGGGAGAAAAGGGCAGAGATATGTTCTAGCACACAACCTCTGCATTTGTAAGTGTAAAATTCCATCCAGTGACTGAGGCTACTCCTTTCAAATTGCCATTTAACAGTTAGGAAAAGTCAAGGATTTGTAAAAATTCATTTGTGGTTCTTTATGATAAGGCAATATTGTGATGCAATATATGCATGCAGTAATGTTAATGCAAATTATTACGCCCAAAGCAGCACATCATCTGAATATGCAACAAATTCAGAAATGGTTTTAGCTGAAGGGCAAAGCTAATAGCTTTCAAGGAAAGGAGTCTAACCACCCGCAGGAATCTGTCACTAGCTGACAAATAAGAGGAACTGCACAATGCAGACACCTGCCATATACCATGCAGGTTTGCATTTGTTGTCCCAAAGACAGCTGGTCTATGTACGTATTCAGTCTCCACTTGCTCACTGAGCCCTGATCATTACACGTTGTCACTACTGGAGAATATTTTAAATGCCTAGCAGATGAAAGCCAGTAGCTGAAGGATATAGTCGTCTGTGCAAGCTCACAGAGAAATAGGGTAAAGAACACTGTTCACATCTCTCTAGCTCCACATAAACACTTAAAAAATATTTGAAATTCTTAGATGCTTGCTACATTTGCTCGTGTGAGCACTGAATTCAGCTTGAGAAACACTGAATAAGAAGCAGCTTGAACTATTTATCTTTTATATTAAAATGTGTTTGTATCAAGAACCTCATCTCTCCCTCAGGTTTGGATAAGAACTGACGACATTTATGTTTTGCACTGTTTTCATTTCCTCTGCACAGCCCAAAGCTTTCAGGGTTACAAAGTACTTCATCTGTACTCCAGGCTTGTTCACTTTGCTGCATTTGCTAAAACATGTTCAGTGTTCTAATGACTCCCAGCCAATTAGAAGAAGATGGAGTCTCGTTACAGTGCAGTAACAAAGCTGATTACAGTTTTAAAGAGAAAACAATGCACCTCAAATGCTAAGAATCTCCTTATTAATAATCCCATTAAGGTCTATTGAACTTTCCTCTAAGGTAGCTTATGAATATTGTTCAGCACTAACAATATAGTGGCAAGTTCACAGAATTAAGATAAATAACGAGTGTCAGACACATTACTGCCTGAAGTCAGTGTTACTAAAGCAGAGATGAGATTAGATGAGGACATTACAGTGATGATTTGAAACACATGAGTTCTCCAAAAAATGAAAATTCGTATCTGATCCTCGGCCAAACCATGACCAAGGTCCTCTGCATACATCCCAGTCATGCAACAGGACCATGGCACTGATACTGGAAAGACTGGAAAAGTTTTATTTTTGCTCTTTAAGGGAAACTTTTTTACAAAAAAATAAATCTTAACCATTTACGTTATCTGAAATGTTTCTCACATCTGAGACAAGATCAAAAATTTGTCTGAGGAAAAACAACAACCAAAAAGTGTATGTGTTAAATAACATGAGGAAATTAGAAAGCACATGAAGGACACATGGTTTGACATTTCTTGAGAGAAAACACTTCAGTATTCCTATCTGAAAGATATTTCACTGAAATATATTTAAATTTTATTTAAAAATATCTCCAAAAGTAATGAAGTTTTTTTTCACACTTTTAATCTTTTTCTCCTTTAAGGTGCATTAAAACTATAGAAGAAGTGCTCCAAACATATCCCTGACATACAGTCATTGAAGCTGGTTAATTTCCAAGCAGTCAGTGAGTCAACTCATTATGGCTTTAGATGAGTCTAGGAAGACTATAATCCAAGTGCCAATTCCCTTGGATTCTTCATATCACTTTTACGCAGTGGAACAGCCATACTGAAGGTTGGTTTTTTTCAGACTTTGAACAATGCAGTACCTACCTGCCGTTCTGATGACATTATCAATAACCTCCCTGGGGACTGGCTCATCACTGAGAAACCTGACAGACCGCCTCTTATCAAGAAGCTCATAAAAAGACCGGGACCTTTTAATCATTTCAGCCTCAGAGTAACGCTCTGCAATGAAGGGCACATGGGCAACATTTTCATCAAGTCCTTGCCACTCTTCATCAACCTCTGCAAGAAAATAAAAGTGGTTAGGGTTTGGGTTTTTTTTTTTTTCAGCTGGAGAATGCTGATGTCTTTGACATTTACTGTCATAATGCACTTTGGTCTGTATTGACATACATTGCACTTCTACACTATCGAAAAGCCAAAGTCTGAGGTTCCCGTTGACACAACTCACTGATCCCAAGTTCCAGCTAACATAAAAACTGTTTAAATACCAAGAGGCAGAAGAAAACTGGCTGTAGAACTGTGATCCAGGAATAAGTTACATCCTTCAGCTCTACAGTCTGCAAGCATTCCTGTAAAAGTGTACTATAAGCTGAAACAACATTGAAAAGGTGGGCAGATTTTCAACCCACTTTTCTCAGTAAGCAAATCTGAACACACATATGCATTCCCAAGCAGTCTAATAAGAAAAAAATCAATCAAATTGCTGAAGCTAAGAAGAGAACTTAACTATCAAGATGTGTAAGATTTCCTCTGAAGAGCTGAATGTCAGCTTCTTCCTATGTTCATGTTTCATAGGCTATGTGCAAATGGGACTTTGTGGTTAAGTTCTTTGGTTTCATGGGACTTTCAGCAAAAGGGGAAATGGGTAATAGGCATTTATACTTAGGATAAGTAGGGTGCAGGGTATTGTGTTTCTTGCTTTTAATTTAAGAACTCAGAATGATTCCTAATTTCAGTGAAATGATGTTATTCTTTCTTTTTTTAACACCATAAAATACATCTTCTGCTCTCTCTGAAATCTATTTTTTCTCCTCTGTGTTCCTAGAGTGAACAGTGGCATTTTTTTGCCTCTGTAATATGGAAGTTAAAAGCATTTAAATTTTGCATTTCTGCCAGTCGATAGTATTGAGCAATCTGCTACAGAGGGCTGAGTCAGGAAAAAATATTCCAGTTCTTTTCCAGTTGTCATTAGGCTGTCATTTCAAAATCATAGCAGTCTCCATTGCAAATTCAAACAGCAGCTAATTCTGTGCTTTTGTAGTATGTAGTTGTCTTAGAGACCAGGATGATTTTTGTTAATTTTATAAATACCAATGAAATATTCACAAGCGTGGCTCAGCTTGTGCAAGGGGATGCAATATATCCAGTTGCACATGTTGAATCTAAACAGTGATTCTGAACCCCCCAGTAACATATGTTTCTTTTTATGTACAAATAAATCACCCAGAAAGTTTGTTCCTTTTAGCATTTCACAGCTGTCTTAGGCATGCTCAGTCAAGCCTGAAAGAACATGGCTACAGGGCAATGGGAAGTGGAGACCAGGTGTAAAAATTATTTTGTGAGAATCTTAAATCCCAAAATCTCCTCTTGAAGGACTTACAGGCCTGAAAGCTGGATCGCTGCCTGCAGCTGGCTTCTCAAAAAACTTCTTGTGTGTGCAGGTATTTCTGATGTAACCAACATACTCGTTGCTGAACTGAGAATTAAAAGTAACACAGACTGACACACATTGCAATTTTATCTACAGGCACTTATATAAGGAGTTTCTAAATGGAAAAAAATATTGTCTTTATGATAATAAAAAACTCTGAAATCAGCTAAGGCTGTGCATGTGTATCATAAGGCAAAAATGTGACCAGAAAACTATATTGAATTTATACATTGGATTAGTGTCTCAGTGAAAATTTCAAGTCAAACTATATTATTCATGCTTATACCAATATGCTGTAGTGACCATTCCTATTCATTTCCCAAGCTTACAATGTTGAGTGTACTGAGAAACAGGAATAGGATACTTCTAGTCTATCTATAATAACTTAGAAATAGTCCAATAAAAACTTAGCCCTAATAGCTCCTATGTGCTCTCATTATTTACTTTCATATGATGAGATTTTACCAAGGTTCAGAAAACAGGAAATAACATACATACAATGCACTGTACCTTCTTTTATTTGTTTGCTTGTTTGTTTGTTTGTTCGTTCATTCATTCATTCATTCATTCGTTCGTTCGTTCATTCCTGGTGGTGGAAACTTCACAGTCTAACTTTGGCTCCTAAGCTTATCCAAGCCCTGCTTGAACATCTCTTTTTCTACTGTTATTGCAAAATCATGAAAAATCCTTTCGGGTCAGAGATATGGAAACTGGAGTATAAACTACTGAAACCTTTACAAAAGAGGTTTGTCAACTAGGAGTTTAATGCTGGAGGAAATTTGTGTAATCTCTATACCTGATTTTGAAACATGAGGAGAGGAAAGTAGAGTAAATGATCAGCTGTGAATGTCAAAGAACAGAAAGATCAAATTATCTATATAGATGAGTAGTTAGAGAGTTGATCAGAGGATTTAGTTAATTCAAAGAGCATGTTGCTTGTGGACATTTGAATGCAGAGGTCAAGACAGCAAACTGGAAGAGCAGTCAGTGCCTGTATGGGACACAGAATCATATCTCATTTAAAATAAGACAGAACAGGGAGAGAAGAATCAAGCAACAATAGCAGTATCCACTTGGACACGTTCAGGAAACATAAACAGAATTGATGTGGCAGATCAGAAAGAAATATAAAAGCGATATATTTAAAACAAGGGCAGCTTTTTGAGATGCTTTGGTTTCAGTGAGGGGGTAGGACTTCATTTAAAAAAAAAAAAAAAGTGCCCCTGCACTGAGATTATCAGTTAATTCAATTTAATTGTCTACATGACAAGTTAAGGAAATAAAAGTTTATAATTTTGGGAAAATAAAAGATTGAGAAAAAATAAGTTAAACAACTCAGACTGAAAAAGTCAGGGATCAGGAATCAGAGGCATTTGGCACTGCTTCATATCAGAGATATAAAATTCATCTCAGATGTAACTAGTTGAATAAAAATATTAAGTAAGTGTTGTACAGGCAGCTAAGAATAGAAGTTAAGCAAGTTAGAAAGTATAAAACTTGCAGTATTATCAATGGTAAAGTTAAATTTTTTGAGTTTTTTTTTCCTGGAATTTTTTCCTTCTAAGTAGAAGAAAAGCAGCTAATCCATGGCCAAGATGGTTCAGCATAGTAACAAGGCAGGGGAAAAAAAAAAAGGGCATATATTTTCAAAGATATTGAACACATGATGAGGGTGAGATGACTAGTGAGAATGAATGTTTGAGAAGCACCATTTCTGATTTAGAATATCTAATTTAGAATTGCAAGCAAAAAAAAAAAAAATGCTGGAATGCACTAAGATCAGAATATGGCTGAGGCAGGAGAAGAACCTAGATATGAAAGAACTGACACACAAAATCAAAGTTCACCCAGAAATTTTTTTTAAACATAAATAAGCTATTATTTATTCCTTTCTGCCATGAGTTTACCATTCATTCTTAGCAGTTAATGTTATCCATATGCTAAGCTAAAAACATTATCGATACCATCTGTTTGGTGCACGCTCTCTATATTTTAATGGCTATGTTTGGACATATTCCTGTTTGTAAGGTCACATTATATAATACATGTGTCTTGTTTATTTGCATGTGTATTCTTTCATTTGATGTACAACAGACATCCTGCTAGTCACTCAACTATCTTGTTAGACACTCTCAATATTCCCATAAATTCTATTCTGTTGTACATCTCTGCTAGTCATCAGGCTTAGATATCCCAAGTGAAATCTCATAATAGACGTGCCCTTTGGATACATTTTAGAATGATGTTTGTGTTCTTCTCAGAATTTCACATGGAAACTTAAAATCAGCCTACAAATCATGTAATAAATTTTGCCTTGGTTTGAAGGAAACACATTTGCTATGAGTTTCTAATATTTTAAATTCACATGAGTAAAACTTGTTTAATTTTTGCTGGCCACTTATTTTGCCCACAGTGATATTTCTATGTGTTACTGGCTCTCAATTTTATATCATTAAGAAATTTCACTTGTACACTCCTTGATTTTATGAAAGGCTACAGTGTAATATTAACGATTGATTCTGACACTGATCATTGAAAGACATCAACGGTAACTTCAGTCTAGACTGAAGCGTTTGCTTTCCAAACTAGCCCTTTCAGTTTATCCTCCAAGGAATTGCTTCCTACATCTAGAATTTCTCTTCCAGTTCTCTTTTCCAATGAATTGATATGATACATAAAATGTAATTACATGCGTACAAAGAAAGGCTGTGGGCTTTTATTTCTAAAGTGCTGGACAAATGACCCTGTGCTTCTTTGCAAGACTGATGGCAGACTGCTACATAATCTGCCACTATAGGAATCCCATTAATGAATCCAATCCTGAACTGAATGTGTTGCTAATGGTAAGCTGAAGGAGATGGAGTGCCTTACTTGTGGAATATAAATAGTTGTTAGCAAGGTGAGCCTGGAAACCCCAAGGATTGATCAAAGATCTTAACCAACAGAAGCATCAAATGGGAGAGACAAGACAGGAAGAAAGAATAACATGGTATTGGGAAAGTGAACTCAAGCTATAATGCAGTTACAGAAGGCTTCTGAAGTTCTTCAGAGAAATGAACTGTTTCATAAAGAGAAGAAATGCTGATTTATCTAGTAAATAAAAAACTGTGAGGCAATCTGATTGTTGTTTATAAACCACAGGAGGGTTTTGAACCTGTCCTGCGAAAAGTATGCTAGGAACAAACAAAAAAGGATGGAACGATAAAAAGTGGGTATAGACAGAGGTTAGACATCAGGCAGGGGAGAATTTTTAACCTATGGCATGAGGTTCTAGAACAACATTCCAGCAAGTGATGAAAACGGGATCAGGTTTTGAGTTCAATCAGCTAATGACAAAGACTGGAGTATCAGCAGAGAGATAAACACAATGAAGTGTGATGTTCGTGTAAGTCTTGTGTTTCTAAATGACATAAAGAATGAACTGTCATTAAATTGGAAAACTAAGTTTCTACTGTCTCACTCATGTCAATAGTATTATTATTGAAAGATATGGGGAACTTTTGAACTCAGGGAGAGGAGAAATATATCTAAAGTGGGAGAGGTCAGTTATAAGAAATATCATAAGCAATAAGCACTGAAGTCTGAGATGAGATATTTAAGCCTTTGCACATTGCTTTATATTTCTTACAGACATTACCAAGAAAAGCCCAAATAATTAAATACACAAAAATAAAATCCTTTTGCTAATAATCTCTGCAGCTGATCCTCAAAATAATAAGGTTGCAAATAAAATTCATTCTGATCTTCCACAACACTGTAAATTGGCTCTGCATTTACCTTATCCATCAAGGTTATTGATCTGAATAATATGACCAAGAAAGTGACTTGTTTGTTCCTGATTTGAGTCAGGTGTATTGTAGTAACTAACTAGGTAAGGACTCCCTGAATAATTTTCTAGAAGTTGCCTTTGCAAACACCTAGATTCAACTGTGTAAAACTGAAGCCATGGGAGACTCAGTACCACCATTCAGAATCAGATGCCCTGCACTAGGAGATAGCCCTCATGGCTCATGCATCAAGATAAGGCTGAAGAAACATGTTTTTAAACGTGTTTTTAATCTATGTCTAATTGGTGATTAGACAAGACCTAGTACAAGATACAGCCACACATACAGACCTTTTGTACCAATCCACAGCATTACTGTCCTTCATTCTGGATCTCATAAACGAAGGAAGAAGATACAGAATATATGGACATGCAAACAAACCTGAAGTATTTCCAACTAATAACCTACTGACTGAATGCTTGCTGCTTAACCAAGGAACTGTGTTTCTAGCTGCTCTGAGAAATATCTTTCTCTTCAGTAGCTGAAAGCATAACAAAGACAGGCTTGGGAGCACCTGTGACTCTCTCTTCTGCCGTTCACTTCCATTAAGTGGCTCTACTGAGTCTGTCCAAGCAGATCAGCTAATTACATCTAATGCTCCAGTGCCTGAAAGTTTGCCCTCTGAGGGGAAACATCCCCTGCTGGTGCCACTTGAACAAAGGTTTACAATGCTAGTAATGCCTGAGCAAGTTCAGTGATCTTCTAAGAAGGTGCAGCATGCAACCTGCCCCTTGAAGTGTTTCAGAAATGTACAAGGGCTGCACAGTATTAGGCTTCTTCATTCCATTGATAAAGTGCCCTTTGGTCATGGCCAAGTATCAAAAAATTTGGTATTAAGCTGCATTTTCCCATTAGAAGGCTGTACAAAATTCAGCTTGTTTACTTAAAGCAGCCTTGGGTTCCAGTTTTAGACAACAACTTAAAAATGCTTCATCTCGTCTACTTCAAATTCTCTCCAGAGGAGCTACCTCTTTAAGCACAAGCCAACTTGAGACACTGAAGTATAAGCGAGTTTTTCTAATAAAGAAACATTAGTGAAATAGTGGAATTTTCATGACAGGTAAAATACTCTCCACTGTTCAGAAAAAAAACATCTGTTTACATTCCATGTTTCCATTTTAGCAGCTGCTGTGGTCAGTGAAAGTTTTTACACTGACAAACGGTGAATATGTTTGATCATTTATTATGGCATTAGCTGGATTACAGATCCCTTCCGAGATGATCGTACGCTCTTCTTACTCAGTCTGGGCTTTTTCCTGCTGAGAAAAACCTTCATCAAGCATGGTGCAATTACTTTATTTTATCTGGAGATAAAAGACCTGTCTGTTTTGCGAATATCTTGGCTTTAAATCACATGGCATTAAGGGAAAGATGATTACTTCTTGTTAAAACAGTAGAACAAGAAAGTCTAATTTAATGTTGCATTGCCTGGTACATTGGTTTTACATACAATCTCCTTTTAGCAATGGCATAGAGGTGTACCTACCTATGAATCTTTGTAAGCACTTTATAACTTAGTACAATTTTGAATTTAGCAACTGCATTAAAGATAGAAAAAACTAACAATAAAAAAAATAACATTTTGTATATGGAGCTATAGCAGAGAAGGTCCTCATTAAGGGCTAATAGATTTGTTTATTCAGGAGATCTACATTTTTAAACTGATACAAAAACCTGTAGTCATAGATGTCACAGTGATAACTCATAGAATTTTCACTTGAACTACCCACAGGAATTTTAATTTGCAATAGTTTAACTAAACTGGTAAGCCATTAGAAAAGGGAAAAACAGGATAGTTTTGTATAGGATTTCTTTTGCACTGTAGAAAGGAAGGCATGACATTTGAACTAACTTTTAAGTAAATGTTGTGTATTTGGGAAGTTGTCAACATGGTTTAAAAGGTTCTAAGTATCAACTATTTCTGGAAACTGATACAGAATACTGTCTCAAACTATGCTGAACATTGAGAAACAGAGAGAAATAATGGTTCTCAGAAATAGTTGTATGTACAGAAAACAATACGAGATACAAGAATCCAAGAAAATGACTACATTAATGTGTCATTATGGGAGAGAGACAGGAAAAAAAAAAAAAAAAAAAAAGCTTTTGAAACCAGCATGAGTGAATAAGCTGTATTAATTTTAAGTTTAAAAACTTCATAGGAACAGAACTGCGTAGATTTTTATACCATGAAGAAATGAAAGGAGATTATGGAAGATAATGAAGAAGCAAAAAAGAAGGAAAGGTATATCTTATGCTCATACTTTCATCCAAGATGAGAATTGGGAACCACTACTGCAAGAAAAGGCATTCTATTTGCAGCTTCAAATATGCTGTGGAGTGAATAGAGATGAGCGTCATCACTACTACTACTGTTCTTAAAAATATAACTCAACATAGCTCCAAAACGATCCCCACTCTAAACCAGCTAAAATTCTTACAGACATTCATAACTGTAACAAAATTATTTCCTTTTTTTTCTGAGGGTGTTGAGATCAAATACAGACTGTACCACATAGCTCATGTAGGTAAAGCTAGATGAGGTGTCTACCAAGTCAGCCTACAGACAGAAGCTCTCTCTCCTTCCAGAGTTCCCCATCCTAGGAAAAAATTTTAACAATATCCCCTTTCTTTCCTACATTTCCCACAGAATCCCTCTTAGATCTGAGATCTGCTGATCATGGGGCATACAACAAACTTCGAAAATACATTTTCTTTTTGCGCCCTGACCCGTCCGTCACCAAGAGGGACAGGACATAAGAATAACCTTGTTCCATCAAGTTGACAAGCATAGTGCAGCATAGCACTATGCATTTCTATCAAAGTGAAGAAGTCCAGAAGTTTGCATCTCTATTCATATTAGCAGACCAAATTCAAGCAATAAAATTGCTCATTTGTAAAAGATTTTTCTTACCTTCTTCCACTAAGTGGTGATCAGTGCCATCTCTTAGATCTTCATCCACCCATGGACGAGGTATGGGCTTACTTCTAGTGTCACCTTTTTCCTTCTCTCTTTTAGTCTTCTTCAGTATTACCCCAATCAAAACACATATAATTGCTATAAAGACTGGGGTTAAGGAGGAAAATAATGTCATGACTACAGAAATGTGGAGACTTCCAAGTTCAAGTTTCTCTTCTGAAAAAGAAAAGATGAAATGGAAAGCACAGAACGGGTGTGAGCAGAAAGGGGTGGACCCAAGGTTCACTCCTCGACCCTATCTCACTTCTGCTTTTCAGCCGCTGCCCCTACAGTCTGCTCTGTGATGTTCTGTGGTTAAGCAGGCCCAGATTTAGCTATTTTGAAGTAAAAAAGTAACAAACTGCTTACAAACAACTAGCAGAGGCACTGACCATGTACTAACACATAAATGCTGACATGCAAAATAAATAAAGAGATCTTTCAAAATCCTAGCCTGAGGCAAAATGCTCCTTCCCCTTACTTTTTCAGTTACAGTGATCCTAGTAATCTTGCTTGTAACAAGTATGAGAAAGAGCCAAGCAGGAATGTGACTTTTAGAAACTGATGACATCTCTTCAATGTTTAACTCAGAATACTTAGTAATATTACACGGTTCCCAGGAAATCAGAGTATCACCAAGCAAACACAGGCTTGCAGTGCCACCCTCAGTGTGTAAACAGGTTGATATAAAAGATAAGTGAAGTGGTAGCATTACTTCAACATGAAGTATGAATTAGATTGTCCACAGAATCCTGTATTCATTCTGGGTGGCCTGGGGAAAAAAAAAAAAAAAGAAAAAAAAGAAGAATTCAGGGAATAAAAGTAAGAATGATCTGAAGGCTGGAAATCTATGCTGTGGTGAGTTTTAAAACCATGACTCAGTTATCTTATCAAAAGATTAAAAAGCAATAGGACCCTGGTCTAATCCAAGAATGGTCAATGTCTAACCCATTTTTAACTCAGTCAGCTGCTTGGGAACTGAAACAACACAGCAGCATGGAATTAAAATCTTTATCTGGGACTGCTGGGCCATGCTGCATAATAAAAGGTCAGGTGGCAATGGAGAGCAGAGTGCAGGAACTGACTGCACACAGTTACCAGCACCTATCAGCTAAAAGTAGCGACAGATAAGCATCAGCCCTGCCAAAGCTTATCTCACATTGCACAGGGCCAGCTTTGAAGTCTCTGTATGTTAAACTGTATTTTGGATAAGCCCATGCAGGAGAAGTGAGAGCAGTCTATAGAGACGCGTCCCCATGCTCAGCGTGCCTTTCTGAGAGGTGCTGCAAGCCCTGCCTAGGGCGACCTCCCTGCCTAACCCTCCAGATGAGTGCATAATTCCATCAGAGATGAAATAAAGAAAAATTGTGCTTATGTTGCTAATCTAATCCAGTAAAACTGGTGATAGACAGGCATCTGCCTCTGGTTATGAGGGCAACCTACTTGAAAACCTGAGCTATTAGTCTTCTTTTCCAGTCTCCAGTCCAGATATGACCTGGGTCATATGGTTGGGTCTTGATGCCTGATTTCCTGTAAAATAATAATTAATTAAAAAACTCATCCTTTACAGGAATACAAGGGACAACTACAATCATGTAGGAAAAAAAGAGTTAAATTTATCCTCTATTTCCTTAATTTAGATATTTAATTTCATTTGTTCTCCCTGCTGGCCATCCAGTCAAGGAAGAAATACATCACCTGCTACCAACTGGAAATATCAAAATTGTTTGTGTGAGTAGAAAGAGGCCTACAGTTACATCAGACACCTTTTTGACAGCCCATTCTATGGCAGAGAGGGAAAGAGAAATGTAATCTGAATGGCACAGACTATTTCTCCTATGGGGAACATATTCTTGTTAACCTTGAATATTCACATACATATAAATTAGCACCTGGATGCTTAGCAGCTGAGAATCCATCCTGCAGAGACAGGTCCACGCAGAAAGAGAGAGAGAGAGAAGCAATAAGGCAGGTTGAATTCTATTGTTTAAAACAACTACTTCTATTTGCAGTGCTGGGAACCGTGCAATCTCTCACTCTTCCAGAATAACTTTCACTTTCTTAGAGGTGATGAGATATTAATTTTTCTTTTGTAAAGGAGAGAAAGAAAGAAAACTAAATAAAATTCCATTTGGTATTAACTCAGACAAAGTCTGTATTTGGCGTTACATATTCAAGTCTCTTAACTCGAACTTCAGCCCCACAGAAATCCCACAATACCTTGTTTTATTAAAATCTGATATAGTTTCAATAACTCCATGCTGCAGACACTTAAAATATAAACACGGTGATAATCTGAGGAACTGTGGGAGTGGTGGGTGGACACAGTCAATTTGTATATAGTAGATTTTAATCAGTTTTTCTAAACTCACTGCTGGATTTTCTTCAATCCATGCTTTACATGATTGTTATCATGGTAAGTGCAAGCAAATTTACTGCCATTATTTCTTCCTTTTTATGGTAAGATCTAAAGCCTAGCAGCTGGATATTTTATTTGTGATTTTCAAAATAGTCAGGAGAAACACTGCAAATACTCCTACACCTACAAATTAAGCTTTTCTGACAAGCTTAGAAAGGAGACAGAAGAATTCAATAAATATTGTAAACACCAAAGAACCAAAATGTTAGTGCATGAAATCATTATCAACATTCTTAAAAGATACAGATCTTCATAAAAGAGCTTTTGGACCAAACACTCTTTTTTACATATTTCCTACTGAATTCTGTGCTTAGTTGTTGTTCTGGAGAAATGAATGTATGCAAGTATCAAATATAGCCCTTCATTTTTTTCAAAGTAAATATGTGTTAAGAGCAAATGTTATTCATAGGCTGCAAGGATACACGTGCATGGTAGTGCGGTGCATTAGCTCTGTTCTAAGCTGTTGTGACTCTGCTTCTGAGGGTAGTGGGACTGACTGACTGCTATTTCACCATCCTGCTGTAACTGCACTGAGTGGGAGAAAAGACACTTTTCTGCACTCGGACACGAGCTCTGAGTTCCACAGCTCTGCATCTCCTTTGAATACATCTCCTGTTTCTTTCCATCACTACTGTGATCTCAGCATATCCCTCTCATCCTGCTCTGGAGAGCTTTAGGGCATTATTATGAGGCTAGGAAAAGACTGTTGTTGAATTCTTGTATGAATACAGGCCCTTCCATCTCACACAGGCAAAAGACAATAACAGTGCTCAAATTATCAGTGGATAATTGATCAGTGAATTACCGTGTCATGCCTGTCTTGCTGAACTTCATTAGTTGCACACATAGAAGGAAAATGTGCACTATTTCTGATACTGGTCAGTGCTCATGCTTTTGTTGGGACCATCAAATGACACAACAAAATGTGGCAGTGAGTGTCCGCATGGACAACTTGCTGCAAACATAATTACAAGCAGGAAAACACGGCCACTGGGAACTGTCTTAGATATGCAAAGATTTATCCATTGGTATCAGTCACTGAAGTGAGTTCCAGCATGAAGTTGAGGTTTACAAAGAAACAAACAAAAAAATCTTATTCAAATGACACCTGTGATCAGCCACCAACTCAGTGTGTACAGGCAAGGCAAAAGCACACACAGAATACTTAATCCAATTTCCCAATCAACACATAGAGACAAATGTCTGGATCAGCTGAAACTTATACCTCACCATTGGCATTACTAAAAATATCATTAGCTTGATAAGCATCTTCATCCTTGTGATACGTCTAGTGCATACCCTCCTGCCTCCATCAGCGACCAGCTCACAGCTCTTCTGAACAAGGTGACCCTCAGTCTTCTGCTGTCTCTTTCCTCTTCTGCACTCCCCCATGCAAATGCCTCCTTCCCTTCCCTGAGTCAGCTGCGTGATCTCTTCATGACCCCCTAGAGATATCAGATATCATGCCCTGTAGCATTAGATTTGATTATCTTTTTCATTAACTTAGCTCGGATTGCCACAAATGTTATTACTGCTTATGAACTAGCTTTTTGAAATCTAACAGTACAGAAGATAATGCAATTACATCCCATAGCAATGAAAGCACGAGACAACAGTGCAATAGAGTAATTCTTTCCTTTTTTTCTCAGTATAGCGCCCTTCAATTGCAGGGCAGAAGAAATAACCGAACAGTAGATTATATGATTCATTAATACATTTCTAAAAAAAAAAAGTCCATTTATTAGGATCCATGTTACCAGATAAACCATTACTCATATCTAAGGGAACAATAGCAGTCCTAAAAATATTTGTGATTTCAAAAAATAACTTAAATCATGTATGTCCAACATGTGGCCCACATGCAGACTGGCCCCTTACTCTTGCTTGATACAAGACCACAGGGAAAAGCAAGAATAATTAAAGGGCTATGCATATGGGTCATTCCATCTAGCACAGACAAAATACATAAACTATGAGTAGCCATTTAGCAGGTGGGAGTGCACATCCTAATACAAGCTGCTACAGCCTCTTCAGAGTAGGAATGTTTAAGGGCAAGGAAGGGGATGTCAGTGCCCATCTCTCTATAGCTGGTAAGTTGAGAATGACTGATTCCAGCTAAAAGATCCAATCAAATGAAACCTCTGTATATTGGGCCAAAGAGGGAAAGGCAGTGTCAAAGTAATGAGACATAAGTTAAAAAGGCAGATGCTAGGTGTGTGGCAGAAGCATGTATGTAGATACAGATGAGCATGTATATAGGCCTGAACCAGTTCTATTGTCAGAGCCATGTAATTATAACAATGCCAAAGGCTTCAGGTAGCAGCTTACCCAAGATTCAAGCAGCTCCCCACGCTGGCTCCCCTGCCGCTACTGCTCTCCAGCCTTCATCCCCAGACATGTAGATCCACGTTGACACTAGTACACTTGCACATGCTCTGCTTGCACCTCTGATTGCAACACAGGCATCATCCCAGACCTCCTCTCATCATCAGTTCACAGTGCAGGAGAATGAGTGTTTACAGTGAATTTATAGCAGCGCCCTACATGAGCAGACTTTTCAAATGGTAATGTAAATTCAATAACTATTAGTGGTAGGAAATTGTTAACTGGATCCTTTGTAGCTGACATAAGAAATATTGCTATTGTCATTTTGATATAAAGAAGAAATACAGGAAAAAATATATAAGGAAAAAAAATAGAAAAAACATAGACGGATTTTTTTATTTCCATTTGTTTGTAAGTATTTTTCTGAGTGCTTATAGTGAGGGAAATTGTCTTTCGTTCCATATTATTATGATGGGACAGCCAAATGGCAGCATGCAGCACTTAAAATCAGCATTTCAAAGCCCTAGCTATTTTTGGAATAGCTATTTCTATTACTTTGCTTCTTATTTGCACCAAATCAAAACATAGCAAGCTTGTTTGAAGAGTTCCTTAGCTGATTACATCTGAGCCTCTAAAAACTTCATCTAGGAAAGCACTTTCTAGCTATGAAGGAGAAGAAAGCCTTCAATTCCTATGTAATTATAAACAGCAATGTTCAAAGGGGTTTTTTAGTTGGTGGTGGTGGATTTTTTTTCTTCTTTAAATGCTTTGAATAATAGTTTCAATTTCTTTAGCCTTCTTCTAGCCTTCTGAGGAAATCTATCACATGGCTGAAGTGCCGTCCTCACCACAGAAATCATTTGCAGCCACTTCTCTGTTCAACATCTCTCACCTTTCAGTTTGCAGTTCCAAATGAACTGTGGACTAGCCACCCTAGAAATACCTCCAAACAAAACCCTTCCTACCATATGATCAGTAGCACCAATGGCCCGACATTAGCTGCGACTCTGGTTCAGCTGCATAAAGGATGATGCTAATCCAATGCTTCCCTCTGCTTTGCTCCAGTATTTGTTGCTCATAGAGCAAAGGTTGGAAGTGAATGTGGCCATGCTCCTACACACGCAGTCTAGATCAGAACAGATACAGACCAGTGAACCTCAGGCAGTCAGGCAACATGGGTGACATATTTAGAGTGTTGGATAGTGTGAAGTACCTTGGTATTTGTGAGAGTGGGATAGCTGGGTGTTCAGGTCAGCATGCTCAACAGGGGCCCTGATGGGACCAGAGTGCTGAGGGACCCAGTATACTGACCTCTTCACAACCTGAGTCAGCCTACCAAAGATAATTCCCAAGCCTATACACAACTTAAAGCACTGCCAAAAAGAACCTGACAAAGAGATTTTCTCCCTTTGCCATAGGGCCAGGAAAAAATATCCCCCAATCACTGATCTAAGACTTCTTGTTCTCTAATGCTGCTTTTACCCAATGCACGAACATTTATTTCATAACCTGTGACAGCAGCTAACCAGCAAATTGCTCTTCTTGGGCTGCAGTGCCACCACATGCCAAGTTGCCAAAGAGTAACTAATATTTACCCTTTTTTCTCCTGGGGAAAGAATCTGCTGCTTTCTCTTCCTAGTCTGCAGAAAGGCAGTATATCTCGCAGTAACACTTAGCCCAAAACCCCATAATTGTTCAGACCATTCATTCAAAGCATACACTTCATTGCTCTCTGAAACTGGATGATAGTGGACTGTTTGAAAAATACAACTCTGTGGTACAAGTAAACAGTTTGAAGTTTGCTGTTACACTAATCAATGATTTGTGCCTGGAAATGGGTTCAGCTGCTTTTTTTTCTTTCCTTGGGATCTTTGGGATCTAAAAGTCTTTGAAGAGTTCATCCTCTAATTAAATAGGCAAAATCCTCTCTGCTTCCCACTGTGTTGCACTTTCCTTTGCTGTCTCAGTAAAACAACATAAAACCTCAAGCCACAAGAGCCTTTCGAAAAGAACCACAGTATCATCCAGATGGAAAAGACTTTTCAGGTCATCAAGTCCAGCCATCAACCTGATGTATAAAGTACCATCACTGAACCAAGTTTCTCAGTGCTGTGTCTGCCCACCTATTACTTAAATACCTCCAGGGATAAGAGCTACTTTCTGAATGAAAACTGAAAAAAACTCCTGTTACTTCAAAAATTGGAATGTGGTTCTTGGCATTAGAGGAAAAAAGGAAATTGTGACTGTTCTGTAAGATCTGGAAAACACCATGTTCAGAGCCTTGCCCCACCACAGATGCATTATGGCTGTAACCACTGGTACGAATGGAGACTCAAGACTCCATAGAGGTTATTTTACTTTAAAATTTGTGAATGGGTATTTCTAAAAAATATGACATAGCTTATTAATGTGTAAACTCAGAGATCCAGGCATTCTGCCAGCACAATTACCCTCAGCTTGCCACACTGCTGTGGCCTCTGTTGCTACTAACTGACACAGTGACAGGCTGAGCTGCTGAGTCTTTGATGCTACCAGATTGTTTTGCAACAACAGGGCTCCTCTTTATTCTACAGCAGGTTGAGTTTGGGACAGCTTTGCATTTATTGCTGATGCTGTTTCATAGGTCACCAGGGTGCTGCCCTAAAACCAAGCATCTCCCCACTAGAGATCAATCATTTCTTACCTTGAAATCCATGCACTGCAGTCCATTACACTTAATCAATGCCAAAAACGTCTCTGCATCCAAAAAGACAAATAAGCTCATTTTTCAATACTGACCATGACCATTTGCTTTTCAGTGTAATTTCACTCCAAAATTAAAGAAGAATTAGGAACTATATACTGCTTTTCCTATGCTATGGACTTCCCCTGTTCCTGCTAACCACAAGACAGTCTGTCAGCACATAGCACGCTGCCATCAGGGACACACAGCGAGGATTTTGCTTCAGCAGTTTGCCAGAGGATTTTTGTAGCTTAAGAGCCCAATTACTCATTTTAGTCAGGTTCCTCTCAGTAAATGAAAAAGTAGCTGAGCTTTATCTGTGAAGCCAGGCAAGGCCCTATCCTAGCCCTGCTGTTAATTGAGGTGACCCCCAAGTAGCTTTACCTCACACCAAGTGCCAGCTGCCTTTAGGGTTGTGCTGACAGCAAAAACAGAGCATGTATGTGACCAGCACTTGGTTATTTATTCCCTATTCCTCAACTCATTCCTCATCACACAAGGCTCTGAGGGATGTGGATGTGCAGCCAACAACCTGTGAAAGCATATTTCCCCAGCGGTTCCTTTCGAGCAGCAGGGAAGTGTCAGATGAGGACAGAGCCAGCATTATGCTGCTGCTGTGACTTAATCTCAACAAGAGCTCTGCTGTTAACCATTTAACAGTCTAGACATTCTGTACAGCACTGTCCCTTCCAGTTTTGGCCCTGCACTGTTCCCAGTAGAGAAGGCATAGGGATTCAATTGCCCAGCAAAGCTGTGTGAGAAAGTTCTGAACAGATGCCACAGGGACAAATTCAAGCACTGGTCCAGTTGTCCCATCATCCTGGCAACAGTGGCACAAAACGCCTCAGACAGTGCAAAATGCTCTTCTCCTTAAAACCAGGTCCTCTCACATTAGTGGTTCCTGCTGACAGCTAGGTTCTATGAAAATACATTGGTATTCCCTTCAGAAGGTAAAGACTTGAATTACCTTGACCCTTTCACTGATGTTCTTCTGTACCAGTAGTCAGACAAAGGTGACATCACAGGGCTTTTTGGCATGCTGGTAGAGGGCTTTGGAGCAGGATAGCACCAGCGAAACACCTTTCCTGCTGCCAGTTGCCCATCACATTCACCCCATAACTTGATAGGATAAGTAAGCAGTGATGTTCAGGGTAAGATGACCCATTTGAGCTAAATTCTGTTGTTGCTGCAGCAAGGTTAAAGATAGTAAGAATCGTGGCCTTGTTCCTGTCAGTTCCAGTTAGCTATACAATGTCATTATGGTTTTATATAATACAGAAAAACAAGTTTTTATTCTTCCTTTTAATGAAATTCATCCTTTTTTTCCAGGCAGCAGACAGTAAAATTAATGTATTTTCTCATAATATTTTATGATCTTAAACATCAAATATTCTCTGCCTGCTGAATCAATCAGGATTCATTGACTCCTATTAGCAGTTTACAGGGCACTACCTCCTCCAAGCAGACACTCATATTAAGCTTTTGAGTCTGTAAAATCATGCTTGAAAGCTGGGAAGTCATTTATGCTACATGCAAGGTCTGGTTTGCAAGAAGTAAGAAACATGAGCACATTTATTTTCTCCAAGGCATTGAAGTGGAATAACAGTCAAAGTCCCAGTGACATAACTATAAAATAGGATGCCCTAGCTTCATCATTACATATGATCTCTTTTATCATTCAGTGCATTTCAGGTGGATAGGAAGACAATCTCTTTGATCATCTGTCTCTTACACAAGACATCGGGTAATTCAGGGTCAGTAAATTTTCAGAGAATATCTTTTAGGAAATATGCTTCCACAAAATAAGTGGAACAATCCATTTAGCTATTTAGGAATCTTGTATGTGGTAATTTACTGTTCTGTGCACAGTACATAGAATTTAAGAAGCAAATTAATTTATTCCATTTGCAAGCAACATCAGTTGACTGTATTGTAATCAGCAGCATGAAGCAAATAAGGTTTGCATCTTTGCACACTGTGCATCTCAGAAAGCATATCCGAAATAGTTGCTTTCTTACAGGGTTAAGAGCCTCTACTCCTTTTAAAATGTGGAACAGTAAAAACATTGCTTACTCTCACACTAACAAGTACTATTCAGTAATTGTAAAGTCATTTTAAATTGTAAGTGGATTTGCAGGAAATAACAGGTAATTACTGATGCTAATTGCTCTGCTAGATGTGGCTGGACAATCCTCACAGCAGGTGAGAGCACACTGTTCTTCAGATGGTTGTGATTTCTTTCATAATAGTGAGTAAATCAGTTCAAATCACATTCTTCTGAAGGTTACTTCCACTTAGAATCTAAAATGAGAGGTATAGTTCAACATAAGGGATAAAACTGCATTCCAGTACTTTCTAGCCACTGCTTATATATTTGAAGGCAATATGCCTCTGTGCCAGCTCAAACCTGCTGGCCTGCATTTCCACCTGTCTCTTTCCAGCATCCTCACTTCATTTCCAGATCTCAGAAAACCTCCCCCTAATCATCAACATACCTGAATGCAAGGGCTTACAGTACTGAGAGGGCTCCAAAAGTTCATGTATAGATGGTCCAGACAAAAGTCGACCTATATAATGGCACCATTTTGACAGTGGGAAGAATCTCTCTCACTGCAGTTCTGCAAAATGAAAAATAAACCCATGGCTAAGTAAAATATGACTGACGTAGATTGCCTTGATTTTACTTGATATCTGCTAAAGGGGTAAAAGAAACCAAGCATCCCAGGACGGTCATGGTGCAGCTAGGAAATAGCAACATTTTCTCAATGAAAAGCAAGCAACAGTTCAAGAGAACAGTTCAAGAGACTTCCTCACAGAAGTCCCCAGGGACCAATAAGTTCAGAAAGGAGAAGGCTGAGAGAACACCAAGCAGTGCACAGAGTTGTCTTGCTCAGCTTTTTCACTACATCCTCATCTATCATCACTCTTACAAACAACACTCCAGGCTAGGTGAACTGTGGGTCAAGATCTGCAACAACAGCGTTATCTTCTGAAAGCACCAAAATCTCTCCCACAATAATCCATAAAGATTCTGAAAGCTTAACTCACATCTGAGGTTTCTGTTAGATGTGCTATTTTATTTAGTTCCTTCCCCAAGCATTTTATAATTCTCTTTGAATTGCCCATTTTTAAAAGTCTGTAGCTCTTCTCAGAGCAGAGAGAAGCTCAGATGCACCTTTCAGGTTTGGAAGTAAGAGCACAGCCACAGTTGTAACAGCACATAGCTCCTGGATTTCTCTCTTGATGACTGCAAGGCTCAGCATCAGAAATAAGGCTTCGTGCACAGTTCAGCCTACAGTTCAGACAAGAAGAAAAGCAACAACCACCTTACAATTGAGAAATCCTGGCAGTGCAATGCAGTCTCAAGGATGCAAAAATGCTCTGAGAAAAGACTGTGGCACATACAGGGACAAGGAAGATTACTAACATGTCCAAGAGATGACTGGTGAGCCCCATCCCAGCCATTCTCCTTGGCTGAAGGTTGAAGAGAAAAAAGAAGCAAGTGTCACTGTTGAAACGTGACACTGTTTTATACAAGAAGGATTTTGATATCTGTGGGGAAAAAAAAAAAAAAAGAATATGAAGTGGCAAGAGGAGTCCAGTCATAATACAGTACTGAGCAAGGCCTGCTTGTACTTAATGATTTTTCCTCTGTGTTGCTGCCTGAATCCTCCAGCAAATCAGTATGCCAGGCAGGAGAGACAGTGTACTGCAGCAAGAAAAAAGGAAATAAGACTGTTTTTTTTCTATTTGCACATTTCCAGTGCAAAAAGAGAGATACCACAGAGGTTATCCCTTAAAGCAGAGCTCATTTGGTGTTTCTGTTTCCCTTCTCATGACCTTCATGGGGAAGACAAAAAAAAAAAAAAAAAAAAGCATATCACCAGGCAGAGCTTCTGCAAGAGCAGCTGTAATTGGAAGAGATCTAGTTTCTGCTGAGCAGCAGCATCCTATCTTCTTCCTCCAGAAGGTAAAAAAAAAAAAAAAAAAAAAAAAAAAAAAGGAGTGAGAGCAAAAGAAAAAAGCTAGAGAGAATGCTGAGGCAGATCTACAGGGTCACAAGATAAGGTTGCCACTGCTGCAAGTAGTGACATCCTTGTGGACTAATGTGAGCCTGGGAAGTACCCCAGCAGGCTGGCTGATGGCTCCAAGGAGCACAGAAAGCTATCACGCTTATATCCTCTCCTCCCATTGATTGATTCTCAAAACTGGGAACAACTCGAAGGTTCCTTCCAATGCTGTGCCTCACCCAGGTTTGCTCAAGTGACAGGTGAGCTCAGCCATGACAGCTGCAGGAGGGCTGGAATATTCTATGATCCCAGCCTCTAGGCATGGAGATTCAATATTTAATCCTCCAACATTTAACAGTCTGTGAAGTTTAAGGTGTTATTCCATAAACTTCAATATTTTCTACTTCCTTGATGCTGGAAAATATTCTGGCTGCTGAGCTCAGACAAGGTTAGATGTTGGTAGGCAAGAGGAGAAGCAAGAACTTTCCCTATTTTCCTATTTATTTATTTATCTATCTATATATCAGTGTGTGTGTATATATATATATATATATATAATCAGTATGTGAGTAAAAAAAAGAATTCCCCTCCAAGAGGCTTCAAGAAGCACTTGAGGTTCTTCATCGTTGAATTGAAAGGACCTACATGAAAAAAAAGACAGACATTTCACCTGTAGAAAAATGGTACTTAGAGAATTAAATATGCAATGCAATGAGCAATCGAGCTGTGCCCTTAAGGCCATGATTACACTGAGCCCAACTTCAGATGAAGGCCACTTTACTGAGATGTCTAATTTATTCTAATGACTGCTTCTTAGCTTGAGTAGCATTAGACATCCCTCATAACTGGGGAGACATTTAGCTGAAGCCAATGGACTATATAACATTTAACCAAGTAATAAGCTAATGTGGCAGTTTAATCTCCTTTTGATTGACAAAGAATGCAAAAATCCACAAAATAAGCTGGGGAAAGTGCATTGAATTTCACTTTTACCCTTTGTTGTGTGGGTCTTTTTAACTCATTTATTTTATTTTCATGACCTTTGGGCTTACTCCGTAGGCTGTGCATACAGGAGATCAGACCAGATGGTCGCAGCAAACCAGTTGGAAACTGAAGCCTTCATTATTCCAAAACACAATTTCTCACTGTGCTCTGGTAGTCATCGGAAGGATTTTAGTGTATATACAACTCATACATCAGAGCTGAATATTTACCCTTCAGTATGAAAGTGGGAGCACCCTGCACTTTCCACCTTCACCAAAACCTAGGGCTGCTTTTGAAAAGCCCTGAGCACAGTCCAGCATCCGTGACCCACAAGACATCAAGCAGACAACTGCCTCTTGAACCTTCAAAGCCCCCTCTACAGCCTGAAGAGACAGACTTGATAACAAAAGCAATTACCAAATCCTGATACTGAAAAAGAGTCAATCTGAGCTAAGCTATCCAACACGTTTCTGGTTTGTTATGTCATGAGATAGACAAGTCAGGGCACAGTAACAGCCAGTGCTATCAGCATCCCACCCAAAAGTCAAAATGCCAGTATTTGTCAGAAGTACAGCTTGCTTCAACTCGTTTTTTGGAGAGAGAAAACATCCTAGGGTTTTCTCTTCAGAAACCAGCTTTGCAAGGCTAGACCCCCCAGATACCTGCAGCTCAAACACATCCACATCCACATCCATCCTCCTCTCCCCCTCTTTTCAAAACCGATCCTTTCTGGTGCTGCAGCCATCCCCAGCAGAGCAGAACCCACTGTCATTCTTTATTGCCATGGACAATGTATGCAGCACATCCTGCAGCAGTCAGGCAGCTGCACTGGTGCTGTGCAGAAATTGAGACTACAACAAGCTGTATCAATGAAAGAAGGAAAATACGACACAAAACGAAGAGGATATTATGCACTGTTTTTGGAGTTTTCTTGTCTGTGCTATGACAGTAAACATGAAACAGATGGGAATGCCATCAGGAGCTACAGGTGTAGAAAAAAAAATGATGTCCAAATGCAAAGGTAGAATTACTGACATTGCATTATCCTGAAGTAATAATTGTTCTGCAGTCCTCATCCATTGAAAATCTTAACAAAATAAGTATTAATATGCTGTGCATTCCCTCCGGAAAAAGGCAGCATGACTGAAGTGTACTTAATGAGCTAGTCTAGGCTGCGACACAAGAGAGCTTTGCACAGGCATACAGGACCACGTGTTCTTGCCCAGACATCTGTAGCAGTCTGTCCCTTCTGTTATCATTTGCATGTTCCTGAGTAATTGCACTGATAAGGGTGGCTCTGCTGAAATTCCAGGGTGGTCAGGCACTGAAATGGACTGCCCAGGGAGGTGGTGGAATCACCGACCCTGGGGGTGTTCAAGGAAAGACTGGATGTTGTGTTGAGGGACATGGTTTAGTAGGAGCTATTGGGAATAGGTGAACGGTTGGACTGGGTGATCTTTTAGGTCTTTTCCAACCTTAGTGATTCTATGATTCTATGATTCTATGATTCTAAATGAGCAGGAAATCAACTGAAATATTGATGCTGCCAAAAGATTTACTGTGCACGTTGAGGGAACATTTCATTTTATGTTTCTACCCTATACAGCTGGGGGACATAGAAACCAGTCATCATGAGATGTCCATGTTGCACTGGAGTTCTTCAGACATGAATAGCTGATAAACAGCATCATCATTAAGGTAAGCAAAGTTTTTCTAGTAGCCCACATCAGGTCCCAGACAGGAAACACTGGATGGATCCAAAATATGTGTTTCTCTGCAGTAAGTACTGAGGCAAACCTCTCAAGGATGAGTATAATCATGGCTAGCTTATAAAACTCAAACAGATATCTGCACAGCACTAAATGTCAATATTAAATTCGATATTGAAATACGCTGGCTGCATTACTGGAGTACAAACTGACCTGAAGAGACAGTATGTCACCAGACAGCACAGGTTTTCTACCAAAAAAATTTTCTGGCAGGAGCAATGTACATGCCAATCATCACTGGATGTGGTCAGTAAGTTTTACTGAACAAGGTCCAGAAAGAGTTTCTCACTCCTGTGCTTAGCAAATCTTTGCTCTGATGAATACAGAATTGCAAAGCTCCAAATAGTGTGAGATTGCAAGGACTGATATGTCGACCTCCCTTATCCTTAACTGGATGATACAGCCTTGCATGTAGAAGCTTTGGACTTTTGGCATAAAAACAGATGCAATTAGCTCAACTGCAGATTTGTAAACAGTTGAAACGTTTTGTGTCCAGAGTCAATTCAGAATGAAAACAGGATTCTTTAAAAGGTTCCTTGAAATTAATTGTTGCTGTCTAGCCAGCCCCAGTAGCAGTTAGGAGCAGAAAAGCACCCTGCAGGAAGCTGTGGAAAATTTGGCAGGGAAAAACCTGTGCTGTGGATATGTCTATACGTTACTGCTGCAAGTAAATTTTTCAGGGTGGCAGAAGTGGGAGGGGAAGAGTTAGTCTTTCCCTAATGTTTTTAATGTTTCATGCCTCAGCCAGTGTTTCATTTCAGGTTGGATTCACTCTTTTATTGCTGAATATAACATTTGTTATCTCTTTAATTATTCTTTCAGCCTTGTTCCAACTCTTCCCCCTTCCTCTATCAA